TGGGCAACCAGGAGAGAAACAGCATGCACGTCCAAGAAGGGTCCATGCCCAGTTTCAGGAAGCACCGTAGACATATGAGCACTCGAATTGCAGAGACCCACAACTAGTGGTCCCCAACGAATGCATGTTCTTGTGATCTTTCAAGAAAGTTGGACTGCGCTTGGCCTGTACAAGTACTTGGGGATTTCAGCACGCAAACCAGCTGTATTTTGTTTTTTTCGGGGGGGCGGGAGGGTGCTGGATGAACGGTCATGCCGGCAGCCATTGGGTTTATGCAAAGCCAACACAAATTCTGAAAACGGATAGGTCATTTGGGGCAAACAAAGACTGCAGGGAGCAACTTGGGACTGGGGATGTGAACCTCGAGCCAAGGGACCACACACTTCCCTAGGTCCTTAGGCAGAAAGGAGGGCAAAGGTGGTTGAACAGCCACACCCTGGAACACCTCGAAAGGAGAGCCATGGCGAAGCTATTCAAATACACGACAGCGAGTGTTGACATGTTCACGTGCACAGTATGTGTTTTCTGTGCTTAAGCAAAGACTTACGACTCGGCCCACCATGGGGTTTCTGGCATTTGTGGACGTTAGTCCTAGCCATAAACAGGTATGGCTGCCATTCCTTACATGGCTGGACCGCTCGATTACCTAGGCTCCGACTATATGACTCTATGACTCAACTCCCTCACCACTTGTAAGATCCCCTCCAGGGGCTGCGACTTCCTGTCCGGAGCTCGATTAAAGACCTCGCGAGTCGACCGTGGCTGTGGATTCGTTTCGGACATTTGGCGGGGACGCCTTGAATGGAACTGGGGGGAACTGGGCAGACTAGAAATTTCAAGGGGCGCGAGCCAGACCTAGCAATCCCTCCGGGCGATTAGTGTTGGTTCCCTTCCGTCGCCAAGCCAGGCTCTCAGTTTCTACATACACACACAGTGCCTTGAAGACGCAAGATTGACTTTGCACTTGCACATTGAGGTGTCATTCAAGCAACCAATCAAAGCGTGGTCAATGGCCCGAGGTTTGGATACCACCAATGATGGTTTACCAAAAAGTAGGGCTCGGCATTTGTCTTTCTCCACGGTTTGGATGACATGTGTGGCCCTCATCACGCCACTTGCACTTCGGGGATGTGCAACTGCCCTCCGTGGTTGGTGTGCGTATGTGTCAAAGCTGAGCAGCCTTGTTTGGTTCCTTCTGCAGAGAAATCGGAAATTCAACCACTCAGATCAGCCCCAAATCGCCAAAAGCAAAAAGTCATTGCTCAAAACCAGATGGTGTGGACCCATATCAACCCACCAGAACCGCTTGGGTCACTGGTTCCCCGAGGCCTTAGCTACCCGGCCTTGTTGGCTTAGACGGGCTTCATAGAGCCGAGGTTCTCCGCCGCCGGCTTCATCGACGACGGGGAGGCGAAATCCGAACTCCTCCTTGGTTTGTTTCGAACCAACGGGGATGACCAAGACTTGGTCCCTCAGTCGTGCCCTTTTGCCATTTTTTGGGGAGGGTTCCCCTACTAAAATAAACTACAGAAAAAAAAGGGTACTCTTATTCTATCCTCTCTACTGGAGGACCTAGAAGAGACCCCAAAGCAAACATATAATGACTTAGGGATTTGCCCTCCATTTAGTCCTTCTATGTAAGGTTTGTTAGAGGCTCCTCTAGTACAGGCGTATTCGGGATACCACCCAAATCAACGAAGCAGCCTTGGTCTCCCCTGTCTTGTTTTGTTTTGTGCTTGGGGTTCTGGAAGCCCGCCCTTGCATCAATCACAGTACCATCATCTCAGAGCAGGAGCTATGCCTCCTACTGTCCTTGGAAAGCCAAGCTTCTTGTTCAAGGATCGGATCCCTTTCACCGATCGGGGTCGCAAACGGCCCCGGAAGCGGCCAGTTTGCAAGGAGCTGTCGCTGCCATCCCGCACGGATCCCACCTGGCTTTGGGAGGCAGGGCCGGACCAGGTGAATCATGAGGTCAGAACCCAGGGCCGAATCGATGCGATCCAGAAGCCCGCATGGCGTCGGCCGTCATGAAATCGAGTTCCGAAGTTCAGCGGCAAATGGCCAAATGGTGCGAAGGCCTTTCCAACCGAGCCGAGGGCCTGCAAATCAACATGAAACTCCCAAACAGCTCAAAAACAGCAGATTTCTCAAATTTTGAGCACATTGTGTCATTGTGTCAAAATTATGTTTAATATGTATCCCAAGGGAAGCCAAGCCGGAATTTGTAAGTAAAAAAAGAGAGGAAACAAACAACAAAAAACAACAGCTTTCCCCAAGGAAGCCAACCGAGAATTTGTAAATTTAAATATTGTTTTGGTGGTGTCAAGTATTGGCCACTGAGTCTTTGGCTTTGCCAGGAGCTTCTTGCCTTGAAGCAGAAGGATTGGGACCTCTCGGAGGCGGGGGCCGAAGTTCTAAGGAGTCCATGGGAGAAGACGGAGGAGCTCATGGATTGACATCCATGTGCTCAATAATATTGTTATTTTCCCCTGTTAGTTTTAGAGGGAATCTATCACTACTGGAAATATGTTTGTCTTATTTTTGTCCAGGAGTCCAGGGGCTTAAGCAAATGGAAGTTGAAGGCCCCATTCCTGACTCCCTTCAGGGTTGATGACTTTACCCTCCTTGCCACTCTCATGGCACCGGAGGCTACCTGGAAGATGAGTCTGTCAGGTGTCATGTTAGTGGGAGGGTAGTAATCAGTGCAGATGGCTTCGGAGGTCAGCAAGCGTCATGTTGGCCTGGTGTTTTGGTGTTTTGCACAGTCACATGCGGCCACCTCAAAGTGAAGGCTTCAAAGTGAAGGCTTCAAAGTGAAGGCTTCAAAGTCCCAACGGGACGGTTTTAACATTCCTGAAGGATCCTTGTGTGGTGTGTGGGGATAAGCCCGTCAGGTCTTGAATCGGGTTCTGTTCCATAGACGCTGGAAGCTTTCCTGACTCGAAGAGGGAGTCTACAGCAGTGAGCAAACGGGCGGGGAGGATACTCGTGAAAGGTATGTCTTGGTGTTTCCCCTAGCATGGAAGGCAACACTTCTTCACTTTGACAGATGTCAGTGGGGCAGAGTCCATCATGGGAATGCACGGGAGGGTACTGGGAGGCTCATCTTCCATGATTGCTAGCAAGGAGGTAAATGTATAAATGAACAGCCCTAGGCACCAGCAACACTCAGCAAATAGTCAGCATGCATCCACACGCAGAATTGCTCTTGAACGACCTGTTGGCCATGTTCAGGGGTCCCTATATGTGTCCTTTTGGGAGGGTTTCAGCACCTCTTGTTTGCTTCTCCTTGGTGCGTAATGTTTTATATGATTATTTCAATGTGATGTTAGCAAATGCATGAGTCGATCTTTCCTCTCCGCTAACAAAAACGAGGATGTTAACAAAACGCTGGCGCAAGTTGCCAATGCGGGTTTGAGCGCTCACTTGAACCAAGCCACCACTTTGTAGGGCATTCCCGCGAGGCGGGCAAAAGGGGCCTCTCCGCGTAGGTCTTTGGGTGCCTTCGGGTAGGTCCTGGGTCTATCCGTAATGTTGGACCTCCCGAAAGTGGCTGGTGTCCTTCGCGTTTCCCTTTAAATCCCGAACAGTGACTCAAAGAAAGACACCCCCTGCGATTCACTGCTTTCTTGAAACAGTTGACCACCAGTTTAAGTAGTTTAAGGGTTTCTAAGGACCGCATATGTGGATTACACCTAAGGAAACCACAAGGGGACCTGAAGGCTTCGTTCTTTGAACAGGTTTCCTTTAGGTCTCCTTCGTCCATGCAGGTGGATCCTCCTGATCAACTGCCGGACCTTGGCATTGGGCCAGTTGAGCCCGGCAAGCCGCCCAGGAGCGGAAACGGGGGTCGTTTCGGGCTGAGTCGGGGTGAGCTGCATTTGCATAGGTGTCCTTTTGAGGTTAATTTGATCAAACATAGATGGCACTTGTTCAGATGGGAATAAAGGCCATTTACCAGTGAAACCCATCTATTTGTCCAAAAGGCGGCCTATGTGCATTCGGGTGTGGTTTTTCTTGCTGGTGCTCTGGTGCTCAGTGGACGTGGTGAGTTGGTCGCAGTTGAGTCTGTGCTTTTTCTTGCTGCTGGTAGGGAATGTGGGAATGAACCCATGGTTCAAAGGAAACCACTAGAGGGTCATTCCCTGACTTTCTGGGTCACCTGAGCAAAATGGGGTGAGTTGCATTGTGTTGTGTCTCTTTTGAGGGAATCTGTGTTGGATGAATTGTGAAGACTCCGCCCTCACCAAGAATTTGCATGGATTCGCATCCTCACCCACGAGGGTTCATTGAAGATTCATCGTGTGGGTATGGGTCACCGCCGTGTCAGGTTGTGAGTTGTGTTGTCCGCCATGCCTGTTTTGTTCTTTCTGCTTCTCCCAGCGAACGAGCCATCCCTTGTGCCCGGCTTTTCACCGGTTCCTATGAACTATCCTTTTGGCTGTGCGTCTTCTATTTGCTTAAAAAAACATGCTTTATTTTCCCTTGTTGGTTTTAAGCAACATCTATCACTGCTGGGCATGTTCTCGTTGTCTTGTGTGTTCGGGCGAATTAAGCAAACGGAAGTCGTGTGTTGGTTTTGTCCCACGTGAACAGGAGCAAGGAGTTCAAAGGCGCCGGCAGCTCAGTGGCCCAGAGGCTCAGAGGCCCAGAGGCTCAGGTCGAGAGGGAGCCAATCAACCCCCGTAGGACCTTCCAAGAGAGAAGAGGCCACAAGTTGCAAGGGCTTATGGTTTTACCATTTGCCTGGAGTCCCGGAGGGTTGAATGACGGAGAGAGAGAGAAGAAAGAGAGAGAGAGAGAGAGAGAGATGGAGACCCTGGATATTCGGGTGATTGCTGTCAATTTCCCCTCTTTGGTTTGTGGATCTCAAACGAAAGCTGAATTGGATGTTGCTGCCATTTGCAGCGGATGTCCCACTTGAATTATTGGCAACGAATCCGCAAAAACAGGACACCCCTATATACTCTTTTTGGGAGGGCGGGACCACATTGTTTTCCATGCAAGTGTGTGTTTAGTATTTTGAGGGAGGCTTGGACCCAGCCTCCTGTCCCGCGCTACTTTTTCGAGGATGCTTTGGCGGAAAACAAGTATAATTCACTATAACAGGCAGAATCATAGTTCGAGGGTGGGACACCATGGGAGGCTGGTGTTGTTTTCATGCTCCACCCTCAATAGTTCACCCCTAGAATCATGACTACACGTGGCTTTGAAGATGACCTTTCAAACCTCGGCCACGATGCGTACAAGGCGAGAGCCATCCCAGCGGAGCTGCAAAAGCTCATCAGCGATCTGATGGCGCTGCCGGCGATGGACAAAGGGTGCGGAGCCAAGGGTCGTGCCTTTTTGGGTTGATCGTTTGACCCGATTCTACTGGGGAAAATGGAAGGTTACTTGCGCTTTTTTGTGGAGAACCATGTGGGAATAATGCCTCTGAGCAACCTTCACCATTTACATCCTTTAGGTCCCACGTTTGGCCAATCGGTTGGCAGCAATAAGGCCGTTTAAGCCCAAGGCAAATGTTGAGGGTTGTTTGAATGGATCCTGAGTCCTGAGTTCATCCGAGCAAATCGATAGCAACCACCTATGAGAACCCACTGAACATTGGCAAGTCTTCCTGCGGTGCTTATCATTTGGCCACTTCTCAGTGGTTGTCAGCGCCAGTTTGGGGGGGGCATTCCCCCGCCCAATTGCCAGCAACGAACGACGGCATTTTTGTTTGCCTGATCAGCATGGGACAAGAGAAGGTCCTTTACTGGGGACTAAGTCGCCAAATTTTGATAGTTCTCCGTAAGGGGTGAGCCGTTTGGATGAACGCTTTTGCGGTCCCCCTAGGCCCTTGATTTTGCCATGGCATTGTAGAATATAGTTTTGCGCAGCATAGATATTTTTCACCCCAAGGATCTTGGGACCTCAAATAGACGGTTTTCAAGGTCCAAACACCTTCCAATGCAAATCCGGACCCTTCAATGGGTCCCGTGATGCTAGATATTTGCAGGGTTCCCTTGTTCAAGCCCAGGAAGTCCACCCCAAAACAAACCCGCTTAAGGACCCCATTTCACCCGGTTAGAAAAAGGCACCATTCAACGGGTGAACCAGGGTTTTGCCACCAACCCAGTATCGGGTCTTTTTGAAGGTTTGTGAAACCACCGGGAACATGTTTGTCAGGACCATGGGCGGCAAGTGCATCCCGCAGACTCTGGCCATGGAGGATTTCATGATGGAGGAGGCCGGCGTTCAACTCTTCCAGCTGCAAAAAATGCATGGAAACCTCGTCAGATGTGGATGTGGCTCAAAATGAAAAACTGCCGGGGGTTACCCAGGTTTTGGTCCATGTTTCCACTTGCCAGGGTTCCATTCTGGGTACGGTTGTTTGAGCCACAGCCGTGCATTTAGAGGGTTCCTGAATTGTCCTACTTGTTCCGTGCGTAGGTGTCCTTTTTAGGTGAGCCTGGTTAAAAATAGATGGCACTGGTTTAGATGGGTTTTGTTCCATTTACCTGGGCCATCCATTTTTCCAAAAAGGACACCTATTGTTCCGTGTTTCTAAAGGGATGCCTGGAGAAGTCGATGATCGCGTTGTTTACAACGAGCGTATCTTGGGCCGTTTTGGGCGCGATTGGTAGGGGAAGCATCAGGCGTTCTCATCCAAATGGAAGCTCTTCAAGGATTCAGGGAACTCTGGGAGGACAGCTTTGACAGCGTGAGCCAACACAGGGAGCGCGTCTCAGCGCATGTTGATGCGTACCCCAAAATCGAAGCCAGGAATTTCGAGGTGAAGGGGACCTGTGGACATCAGCAAATCACTGCCAAACCCAGCATGGCCTAGCTGCGCCAAAACGGTACTGCCAGGCGGCAACTTCTTCCCAAGTGGCCGCAAGAGCCCCGAAAGTTTCAAACACCCGCCATGTCCTTTGGAGGGAGGCACCCTTGAGAAGTGCTGTCCACGCTACTTTGCACACCCGTGACTTTCGCAAAGCCGAAGCGCTATCGGCCGTCACAATCAATTATTGCAATCGCAACGTGGATTCAGGAACTGTCCAACTTGATGTGACGCAACTGCGAACCCGAGGCGGTGAAAACAACTGAAATCGTCCCATGGTCAAGGACACCACAACCGGAAGCACCATTGATGCAACCGTCAGCCTTTGGGACACCTCCAAGAAGCTTTGATTCCAAACCGCCAAATCGGAGAAGACCGGCTTCAGACAAATTGATCTCGTCGTTTCTGGTGCATCAGCACCCAATGAAAGGCGCCAGAGCCACAGTCCTATCCGAAACCAGGTTGCAAAGAAATCTTTTGTTGTTTCATAAACTGCTGCCATGCTGCCGGTTCTTTCCCGGAGTCGACCTTTTTCGACATTTTTCTTCCATCAAAGGCTTCCATTCCGCCGTTCCGCCATGTCGGATGGAGGTGGGGATGAAGCCATTGAACGGGAAGTACTTTGTGCAGGGCGTCAAGGCGTTTGAGCTGAAGACGCCCATCAAGGACTTCCCACCGGACAAGGACAGGAGTCGAGTGAGGTGAGGGGCGCTGGTGCTAAAAATCGAACGCATGGTTTAGCTTCCCCGGACTCGTTCCCCGAGTTGGTGGACCTTAAACTCGTTGGGAAGACCAGTTTAGTGGTAAATAACATGTGTGGACCTTTTTTGGCCAGTCCACTCAGGAAGTGAGCGGAAGGATGTCAGACATGGATCATGTTCGACATGTTGCAGAGCCCACTCGGCACCCAGCAATCTAGAGGAATAGTATTCGGGTTTGGGATGGGGTGCTTTCCCCTTCTGATGAGAGAATGGAACCCAGGATGAACAGACAGCTGGTTGGAGGTGTTGGTACTGCGTGTGGAAGTATTGAATCAGCAAGGATGCAGCAGGATGTAGAATTGTTTTGTTCCAACATTCCACGCTTTATGTGTGGCTCCTACCCCTTGCTCCTCCTTCGCATCCCTACCAGAGGTTCATCTACCCACGGATTCGGTTTCGGCTTTCAAAAACGAGGATTGCCCGGAGCTTCCGTTCGGTTTCACCTTCAATTCATGTGTGGTAAAAACTGGGTATTGGGGAGTTCCGGGTCGTGAACAATCCGGGTTCCAGGGACTTTCCGTTGACTTTTGTCACGATTTGCGGTTCAGCCTGATGACATCCGTGGGAACGGAGGAATTTCGAGTTCAGGTTCAGGTGATGCTGACCTATCTGGTTTGCGGGCGACCTGTTTCTCCTGCGCTTATGGCTTTTATCGCCAAATCCCGCTGGGAAAACCTATGGTCCAATACATTCTAAATTCCTCAATTAGGTCGGTGAATAATATATATATGTATATATATATATAATATATATATATATATATACAATATATACAGGAACAATAGTAGTTTAAGCCGCTTTAGGCGGCTTCGGGCTGTGTGGCTTTTGGCGGCGGTTGCACGGTTTTTGGGGTAAGCACCGAAGCGCAGGAGATGGTCTTTAAAGGCTCAGGCCAAGATGGCAGCTCGGCAGATCTCACACCTACAAGGGCGTTTCTGCTCGTGCAAGCTTTCCCGTTTTCTTTTTGGGGAGGTGTTTCCATTTGTCCCCATTTTGTGAAGGGTTGTTTTCCTGTTATCCCCGTTGGTTGCCCTTAAAAATCAAGTACGAACCTCTCTTTGTTTTTTTAACTTCGGGGGGGTTTACCCTTTCCCCTCTTTTGGAGGGACCCGTTGACATCATCTACGTGCCAACAAGGGGTGCTCCTTTTTCCAAACGCATCGACCGCTAACTTGCAACCAACGGGAGACCTGAAGTGACCTGCTGGCTTTTGTATGGTTTCACAAGTTGCTTATGAATTCGATAAGTTGCAATTCCTGGACCCACCGGATACTGTGAACAAGCCGATGGGTGCTCCCAAACGGCAACCCTTCAAACTTGCTGGTGCTCAGGGAATGAGGGATTGAACCTATTTCCTGAAAGGAAACCACCAGTTGGATGGTTAAAAGTTCATTCCAATTCTTTTGCCTATCGCACCAGCAAGCGGCCCAAAGCCACTCGATTCGAGGCCGGCCGGCCTTCTTCAAGGCGTCCGTGGCCGAGATCTTGGAGTGGCAGACGTCCTTCCGGACCTACTACGCTCCTCGGTCGCTCTGAAACCCATGATTGCCTTGCATTCTTGGGATTGCTTCAGTTTGACGTTGTTCCTCAAGGCCAAAGAGCTCTGAGTTTTTCACATCAGACAGACCTGGCTTTCGCTGTCGCTAGCAGTGCTGAGAACCCCTGATTCCAAGCCCTGTAGGGAGCATTTCTTTGGTTGTCATGTTGCTTGGAGGAAGCACTGTAGCTCAGACGTGCGCAATACTGAGGCCTCAGATGTCTACGTTGACGAAGAGGGCAAAGACCTGCTGAGTCGATCTTTGCAGGGCCACTCTGAGGACTGAACCGGTTGTTGGTTTTCTCTGTAAGAAGGGTACCCGTTGCCCCCTTTGGCCCATGCTTGTATTTGGGAACGAGTCTTTGCGGTTTCTGTTTTTAATGATGAGCGAGTCTGCAAATAGCTGATAGGCAAAGTGACCCGGGGGGAGTGGGTGGGCTCTGTGGGATGCAGCAGCCCCTTCATGCTTCCGTGATTCACTTTGTTCCTTGCTAGATGTGACCAGAAAAGAGCGAGCCTTGCACCATTTCCACTCAGCCGACATGTTTAAGTAGTTACGCGGAGCAGAGGTGCTATAAATGCCATTCAAAGCGGCTTTGCAGCTTGCGCCATGTCCTGCAAGATGACGAGAAAGCAAAGTATTGGGCACGTTTATATCCGCAGTTTATCGCTTGGTTTGTGTTTTCCCTTTTATATCGCATCCTGATGTCATTCCTGGAGCTCTGCGGATATCTTGAAATGTAGTCGCTGACTATATATGTTTTACCAGTCGCTCGAATCCAGGCCGCACTCCGATACGTTCGGAGACGAGCATTATAGTTGCCGACGGTCTATCCCATTTATAGAACAGGCCCCATACGAGTATGGTGGACATACATGTCCACCATACAGCTCATGTCCTAGCCGTAGGTATCCGTTTTGGTTGTTTTGCTAGAAAAATGGATGGCCCTGGTTTACCTGGTGGTTTGATCATCTACCAGGGCCATCTATTTCCCCTAAAAGGACACCTATGGTCCTAGCAGAGTTTGTCCCCATCTTGGAACAAATCGGCAGGACGGCGAGGAAGCCTGGAAGATGAAGTTCGCAATTAGGCAAGGACCGTTCGATTGACATGGCCGTGGGTCAAAACCGTTTTGGGATCCCATTTTGGGGTAGCACCACCCATTTTAGTCTATTTAATAACGCGGTTTTGGCCCACAGCCACATTCAGCCTCTCAAAGCTGGCAGTTTGGCGGCAATCCAAAGGTTGGGTTGCAGACAAATGTGTCTTGTTTCAGAGAACTCATTTAAGCCCTTTGCGGCGGTTAAAACGGATAAAAAAAGAAGCCAGCCATTTTTGCGGGTCCACCATTTTCACGCGTTCTAAACCCAGCAACAGATCAGGACCCCACCCCAGGACTGCTTCGTGTTTGAAATCCATTCCGCAAACCCTTGATGTTTTGCTTATAGATCCAAAGTATGTGAAACAACTCATGGTCAATTCAGTCAGTTTCGTTGTCATCAAGGCTCATCGAAAAGCACGATCTTCTGGGCTGTTTTGTCCTGTGTTCGGTTTCTTGTTGACAGAGCTCATGCAGTTCCATAACTCATTTATTGCTGTCACACATCAATAATCCAGACCCGAACTGTTCAGTGGCACTCCTTGTCTCCTTTTTTAAGGGAGTTGTCCACTAAAGATGTTTGTTGCCCCAACAAGGGTTCCGGGTTCCCTTTTCCACCAGGGTCAGTACCGCAATTACGTGTCAACAGCCAGGTGCAGCAAGAATCCGGTCATCATGCGATTCGACGGGCGCGTGGTGCCAAGAGACTTGGCCCGTCCACAGACTTGTTAGACGTTTGATGTCCCACTAAAAGCGTGACTCTTCGCCAGTGCCCTTCTTGATTTTTCGGGGGACGGGTTCCCCTTTGTAGTTCACCAACGAAAAAAGGATTCCTGTTTTTTTTCCAGGGCTGGGCCGAGGAGAGGTCGGGGATGCCACTTTGAGCCGCATCCACCTGATCTCCGTTTGCGGCATCGACTTTGCATCGCGGGTGCACGACCACGTGGATCTTACCAACTACATCAAGAATTGGAAGGAAGCCTATGTATTCGATGCCACTAGGCTCAATAAGAATGAATGCATGCGAATGGGCTGAAAAGCTACAGTCAATGGCAGAGGAGGGTGTGGCGCAACTTTCCAGATCAGTGTCGGGAGCACAATGAACTGGGCTGAATGCATGCGAACAACGGTCACGAATTGCTGTCATCTATGGCAGAGGGGATGGCATGGGCCAATTTCCATACCTATGCCAAAAGCCTGGCGGGTCGCAAAGAGTGTGGGTTTTCAGACTTACAGGCCCTTTTGGTGGCCCCTCTTTTAAAATGGTTCCACAATTCGTTTGGGCACAATTCAGGTTGGTGAAATCACAAAGTATAAACAACAGAACCAAACCTCGCGAACATTGTCCGGGCTTGACACTTAATTTTGAGCTGTGTTTTGAACGTGCCTCCTTGGAGACGAGCTTTGTTTGTTTGGTTTGGGAGGTTTCCTGGTAATGTTGACCCAGGATTGATAAACCCGTCCCATTACTAGGGGGGGTGTTCCCTCCAAAAGTGATGAATCCCCACTAAAAGGGGACACCCCCCTATTAATCAACCAGGAGCTTATTGCTCCGGGGTTAACATTATCACCGAAACTAGGAGGAGCCAGCCCCTTGCTGCAGAGTGTAGGCTGATGGTTATCCATGTGTCAAGCACGGCCGGGACTTTGAGCTGTCTGGGGTGCTGGCGAAGCTGAACGTGTCGAAGACGCTCTATGACTTGCGCCTCAGCTCACTCGTGAAATTCAGGTTACCTTTTGGACCCTCTTTGGATTTCAAGTCTGTGTTTTGTTGTGTGTATACACTTGCATCAAATGGGCTGCGTTTGTTAGTTGGATGAAAGGGTTTCTGGGTGGGGGGCAGGCTCGCGTATGCATTTTGCGTACGTCATTGTTGTTTCTCTTGTGTAGCCGCCATGAGATTTGCATCGATGCGTGTTACTGTAGCCGGCAAGCTTTTATTGCTCAGAAAGCGAGGCCTGTATTTTTGAAAACAAGACTGCTTCAACCAGCGTAGGCTCCAGCGTAGTCTCCCGAGTAGGCTCCGGCGTAGGCTCGAAGCACATGTCCCTTTCTCGGCGGGCCACTGCCGCTGCTTATGATAAGCTTCCTGGTTCAGTCTGCAGCTGCCAAATGGTGCACATCGAGTACTACACTTAAAAGATGCGGTTTTGGAGCTCGAGCCGGCAAAGGTATCACAGTGAAACTTAAATAGCCCCCAGCGGGCAATGCATGACTCGGCATAGTTACAAAGCTCGAGGTAGAAGAGCCGCGGGCAAGCGGCTTGAGTAGACATCTGCATAGGTAACGACCAAGCAGATAGGCACCCCTTGCAGTCGTGGAGGCTCGCGTAATTAGGTGTGCTCGCAGTGTGTAGGGAGGGGTGTCCCAGTTCCGAAATACACTCAAATTTCACAGAGACATTCGAACAATCGAATCCCTCAAAGTTGTTCGCGACAGTCACAAAAGCTGTGCAGCCCCCAGCACGGCATGTGCCTGAGGCAGTTCCCTCCACTCCATGGTTTGGATGCATGCCAAAGGCGACAGTCCATACTGCTGGCAGTACCGTCTCCCCCATTTCCCTGATGGTGCATTCGTCGCTTGCTACATGTGAACAAGTTGAGTCAGCATTTCGCAAGCTTTTTGATTGAAGGCTTGTGATGGAGCAGGAAGGAGCCGTTGGATTTGAGGCCCAAGGCCCTTTGGCAGCCAGTAGCCATACTTGAATCGAGGCTTTTTGTCCCTGCTTTTGTGCCCTGACAGGTGGCCGTTCATCAAACCTGGGCTGCCCGATGTTATTTGTTCAACAGGATACACCCCTGCAAAACAGCCATGTTGTTTGTGTGTGACAGGCGGTCAACCACATTGGTTCATCACCAAACTCGAGCCCCAGGCGACTTCATTGTCGTTGCAAGAGGCATAGGGCATGGAGATTGGAGGGTTGAGGCCCTGGTTGGGAGAAGTTTCTGGCCCCAGAAGTCTGGACATTGGTATCCCAAGGAAGAAGATGTGCCGGCTACGATTGAAAGCACAAGACGACCTAGGCGCTCTGCGTTGCCTCAGGGTCGTCCCATGGATGTTTCAACACATGAACTGCGCACGGGTTTGTTTCGACTTCAGCTTGGTTTCGCTTGGGAGTGGGGAAGTCAGCTGTAAGCAGCTGCAAGCGATTTCAATGGTTTGGATTGGGGCCTTGCAGGGAGGATGTGAATTCCAACATTTGAACTGCTCACCCCGCACAAGCAAATTGCTAAGGACAAGCAAGCAAGGCAGTACAAAGGTACAAACATACGTACATACACACATACATGAGCACATTATAATATATATATATATAACTATATGTGGCAGGGACCTTTCTAACACATTTGCCGGGTATGATCCTGCGCATATTCTACATTATTATATAAGGTACTGAATACATTTTCTATACACATATATTATGATTATCCAAAAAATACATATCTTTTCAAACTATGCCAATCCTTACTACGCCCATATTCCAGAACATATAATAAGTTTTAAAATAATCTAATAATTATTTAATGAATGAATATTATGTATTAAACTAGAACTTAATTAAGAAATGCTGCTACGATAAATGCCGTTTACAAATGATGTTTAAGGTCACTGTATTATACGTATGCTTCATTCTTACATTCTTGGTATTGTTTATAGTTTCATCATAGTTGTATATTCATTCATACATTATTCTTATACTCATATCATCACCTATTCGATATTTATACTTAACGTATTACATTTAGAACCTGAAATAGATATCATTTCGTTCATAGCACTATTCATAACATCTCGGTTTTATATTGTGTGTAAGATTCTAAAACTCAACCTATAACTGTTTCTAAATGTTAAAAACATCAAGCTTCTTAAAACTACAACAAAAACCATTAAGTCAGAAACACTAGTACATTGCATAATGAAATATTCTTGTACAGCTTTTCAAGAACTGCCACTGCTACTACTACTACTGCTACGATGACTACTATTACTACAACTACAAGTACAACTACTACTACTACTACTACTACTACTACTACTACTACTACTACTACTACTACTATTGTTATAACTAACATTATTACTATTACTAATAGAATTGCTTTACAATTATTAATGAATAACGTCATCGTATATATTCTAAAAAACAATTTCTGCGCTTATTTAATCATATTTTTCATTATTATAATCTCTACTTTCTACTACTTAATGTGCGTTCTATCATTACTACTACTAATTCTATTGTTTGTTATTTCAATGTACTTCATGGTCGTCTTTTCCTACTGCTTTTTATTCATCATTTTGTTTGTTGTTCTTCTTGCGTTTCTTTTCACACAGCCTTTTCTTCCTTATCTTATCTTCCTTTTCAATCCAAATTAACTCCTATTACCAATACTATGTGTAATATGATTATTCTTGTTAAATTCATACCACTCATCACCATCCATACAACTAGTATTAGTATTTGTTGTGTGCGTATATCACTACACTTTTTGCACCTTCAATTTCTCATTTATTCTATATACTTATTTTTCAACATATTCAATTTATTAGTTTATGAAAAATATCAATATATTATTATGCTCAAAAACGTTAAAATCAACTAACAATAACATTCATATCAACTATGCCAACCCTTTCAATTTGCATTATGTATTTCAATTAATCCCACTACTTTACATTTACATTCAACAGAACATTAATGTTTATATTTTGTTAAGTTAACTATACTTCGAACTTTCTTCGATTATTTTCTATCTTTTGAGCAATTCTTACAGTTCTTTCATTTATTTACTACTACTACTACTACTACTATTGTTATAACTAACATTATTACTATTACTAATAGAATTGCTTTACAATTATTAATGAATAACGTCATATTATATATTCTAATATACAATTTCTGCGAGTGTTTAATTATATTTTCATTATTATAATCTCTACTTTCTACTACTTAATTGGCGTTCTATCATTACTACTACTAATTCTATTGTTTGTCATTTCAATTTAATTCATGGTCGTCTTTTCCTACTGCTTTTTATTCATCATTTTGTTTGTTGTTCTTCTTGCGCTTCTTTTCACACAGCCTTTTCTTCCTTATCTTATCTTCCTTTTCAATCCAAATTAACTCCTATTACCAATACTATGTGTAATATGATTATTCTTGTTAAATTCATACCACTCATCACCATCCATACAACTAGTATTAGTATTTGTTATGTGCGTATACCTATATACTTATTTTTCAACATATTCAATTTATTACTTTATGTAAAATATCAATATTTTATTATGCTCAAAAACGTTAAAATCAACTAACAATAACATTCATATCAACTATGCCAACCCTTTCAATTTGCATTATGTATTTCAATTAATCCCAATACTTTACATTTACATTCAACAGGACATTAATGTTTATATTTTTCTTAAGTTAACTATACTTTATACTTTCTTCTAGTATTTTCTATTTTTTGAGCAATTCTTACAGTTCTTTCATTTATATACTACTACTACTACTACTACTAGTACTACCACCACTACTACTACTACCACCACTACTACTACTTCTAGAACTTCTATGAATACTATTATCATTATCGCTACCACCACTAGTACTACCACTACCACCACTGTTACCGTTAATCTTACTACTATTACCTTAAAAACTAAGAATACCGTCTTCATGTAAACTCTTGTATCATTCTTAACTTAACTATACATGACTATAGTCATGAAATTATAAATTACGACTTCATTTTTAAATTATGTCCATCAGCTACAATGTCCTTTTTTACTGCTACTATTAAGACTGTTACTGCTACTACTAATACTAATACTACTACTACTACTCCTACTACTACTACTACTACTACTCCTACTACTACTACTACTATTACCACTACTACGACTACGACTACTACTACTACTACTACTACTACTAAACTTAGTATTACTATAACTAAAACAACAACTGCTACTATTATGAATATCGCAGTTTTTGCTAATTAATTACGTAACTCCAACAATCAATTTGTTCGTTCGTTGATTCAGTCAATCAATCAATCAATCAATCAATCAATCAATCAATCAAATCAATCAATCAATCAATCAATCAAACAAGCAAGCAATCAATCAATCAAATCAATCAATCGACCAATCAATCAATCAATCAATCAATCAATCGATCAATCATGCAACCAATCAATCAATCAATCAATCAATCAATCAATCAATCAATCAATCAATCAATCAATCAATCAATCATGCAACCAATCAATCAGTCAATCAATCAAGCAATCAATCAACCAAATCAATCAATCAAATCAATCAATCAATCAATCAAATCAGTCAATTTTTCCGATCAATCAATCAATCAATCAATCAACCAATCAATCAGTCAATCAATCAGTCAGTTCAATTCATTCCTTCATTCCTTCCTTCCTTCCTTCCATTCATGAATTCGTTCATTCATTTCATTCATTCATGGTCATTCATTCCATTTCATTTCATTTCATTTCATTTTCATTCACTCATTCATTCATTCATTCATTTCATTTCATTTCATTTCATTTCATTTCATTTCATTCATTCATTTCATTGTTTCATTCATTCATTCATTCATTCATTCATTCATTGATTGATTCATTCATTCATTCATTCATTCATTCATTCATTCATTCATCCAGCAATCCAATCATGAGCTGACACAAACCAAAACGAGGCATGAGATGAGGCCTTGCAAGGAGGGGCGGATGGCTGGGTGGAGCAACCTGGTCTTGCGGCCCTCCCGCCAACGCTGGCAACCCTCCGGTAGCGGCATTGGGCCGACTCCGATTGGAGGTCAACGCGATGGCACCCGTCGTCCTACTCCCGCCAACACTGGCGCTGGCAACCCTCTAGCGGCATTGGGCTGACTCCGGTTGGAGTTCAACACGACGGCACCCTTTGTCCTACTCCCGCCAACGCTGGCGCTGGCAACCCTCTGCTAGCGGCATTGGGCTGACTCCGGTTGGAGTTCAACACGACGGCGCCCTTCGTCCTGAGGCGGTGGGCTAAAAGAGCGATCACCCTCCCGCCAACGCTGGCAACCCTCCGCTAGCGCCATTGGGCCGACTCCGATTGGAGTTCAACGCGACGGCACCCGTCGTCCTACTCCCGCCAACACTGGCGCTGGCAACCCTCCAGCGGCATTGGGCTGACTCCGGTTGGAGTTCAACACGGCGGCACCCTTTGTTCTACTCCCACCAACGCTGGCGCTGGCAACCCTCTGCTAGCGGCATTGGGCTGACTCCGGTTGGAGTTCAACACGACGGCACTTCGTCCTGAGGCGGTGGGCTAAAAGAGCGATCACCCTCCCGCCAACGCTGGCAACCCTCCGCTAGCGGCGTTGGGCTGACTTCAACACAAACGGCACCCTTTTTCCTGAGGTGGCAAGCTAAGACAGCGATGTACCTTAGTCAGGCCCGCCGCTCGCGCCAGGATTGCCCAAGGCGAGCTGCAGAGCTGCCCTACTCGCTCTGGATTACTCGACACGGCAATTACCGGTTGACGTGATTTGCCAGCGGCTTCGGGTGCGACGAATAAAAATTAAGAACAAGAAGATGCGACGCAAGCAAGTACGCATGGATGGCTAGGATTAAGAGCAAAGGGGGGTGGGGAATCTTGAGCGACGTTGCGGCGTTGGCGCGCCATGTTTGGCTGTAAGTAGATTCTGTTTGATTGGCCTCCAGACTCGAGAAACAGCGCTGCTCATGTCTTCTTTTGGCGCGAGGGCTATGTATGTCTAGCCAAGAAGGTGAAACACGGCCATATGGGCTGCATGCTCATGCTCTTCCCCTGCACCATTCGGCGCAAAATGTTGGCCAAAAGACCTTGTAACAAGCCCCAGCCTTCCGAATGGTCCTGAATAGAAACCTAATGTTCATACCATGGTCAGTTGCGACAAAGTCTGTCGAGACTGTGGAAAGCCAAAGTGAACGCAATGTTGAAGGCGGAAGCCTGATATGTAAGCCCGGGAGCAACACAGAAATTGGCTGAAAGTTGGTGAGACCTAATGCTGCAAAAAGGTGCTTGGCAACCTGGCCTCATGGCCGCAGAGAAAAGAATAAATTGCGCTCAAAAGGCTTTTGGACGTGCGTTGATTCCAAGAAGAACTGCGTTGCCCGACACTGCGTGGTGAATCTGTTGATGATGTAGGAAAGAACACGAGAGTAATGGGCAGCGCAGGGAGTCGCAAGTGCTAGCTGCTGCAAGCTCCCCTACTGGTTTTCTCTGCCGCGGCCGGCCGTTTGTGGATTGTCGGCCTCACGCCTCCGCGCCGGAGTCCTTGGCGCCTCTCCAAAGAAAAGGGAGTGCGCTTGACCTTCCCTGTCAGCTTTCCCTGTCGTGAGCCCTGGCTTTCAGCTGTTCGGACTTTCTCTTGCTGGCTCTGCCGCTCACGATGAAGAGGTAAGTCTGCCTTGGGTGGAATGGTGCCTAAAGTCTTTTCAGGGCACCAGGCTCTCCACTGCTGCAAGGTCCACGCGGGCAGACTGGCCGCCCTTGCCAGTACCGTGGCTTGGCTGTGTTGAGAAGATGTGTGGTGGTACATAGCAGCATTGTGAGACAGAAGCTTTGCATGTTGAAGAATGAACAGCTTCAACTTCAAGGTCGCTTGATGAATTTGTTGCGTCTCGCGGAACCAGGCGTTGATTTCCCGATGCAATGCCTCATTGCTCGAAGTCCCCACGTGAAGCATAGAGTGATGCGATGACTTCATGCAATGCCGTGCCCGGGTGTTGTTCAGATACCACTCCAGGCGGTCAGCAGAAGCTGCGCCCCACAGCAGCTCCCGAACCTTCCGGTTCGGCCCTGGGGCGATCTTTGAGGCTTCGTCTGCGTGCGCCGCCGACAGAGCCGCCAAAGCTTGAATGAAGTGGAGCCTTTGCGCGAATGGCGTGGAGTAATCCATGTCCTTGAGAATACGCCGGGCAGTCTGAATTGGCATGGAGCTGTGTCTGATGTTGTCCCTGTAGACCTCCTCAGCAGCAGTCAGCTCAAAAGCAGAACTGCCATGATAGACCTCGCCCCAGGCATCAGCGCCTCGAGCAGGGTCTCGCTGGCTGAGCTTGCTCAGCACTGCCCGGAGCGCCCTGCTCCCAGCTGTTCGCTTCTTCCAAGTGGAATACTCCCACGCAAATGCCAAGTGGACAGGGTCCAAGCTCACCATTTGAAGGTTTGGACAAACTTCATGTAAGCGTTCTTTGAGGAAGTTGGACGGGTTGTCGCAAGCAACGAAGTTGATTTGGCTCAAGGCATCGGGGGGCAAGCTGGATAGAGCGGCCGCAACGGGCTCTGCAGCCTCTGTGTGCATCGCTTGGAGGAGGACGACTGCGTTGGTCCTGCCGCGCACAGATAGCACCTTAGCAAACAAACCGACAAACATACAAACGAGCAAGCAAACAGACAGACACGCGTGCAGAATCTAGCAGCGATGTTCAATGTAAGTGCGCTCATTAGTCTGCTCAGTTCAACCCAAGGCGCGTGTCTCTTTGCTGCTAAGCCATCGAAAGCTGCTTGCGTTCGCGTTGATCGCGGGGCCCTTGGGTGAGCTTGGCCGAGTACTGACAAGCAGCACCGCATCGTGGCGTCTATGGAGATCGCAGTGAACTCTTCGTGCAAAATTGCCTCTTGCATCAACGACTGCTGCCTGCCTTGAACATTCGGAGAAAGAAATACATCTTCAACCAGGGGCCACCAATCTTTGACGTGGGACGGGTAGAGGCTTGTTGTCTGACATCCTTGCAGAACGGCCGCCTGCAAGATGCGGGGAACCATTGCTTTGACCTCAGGATGCTGGCGCCCTATGCGCTTGATGGGCAAACGACAGACCCCTTAGTTTGAACTGGCTGGAGCTTGCAAACTACAACTTAAGCTTAGCTGAGAAGCCTTCGCGTCGCATATGAGCATCTCAGCCATAACCAAGCGTGCGAAGCTGTGTGTGTAATAGATGTTGCGGACTCGTCGCAAAGGCTCTGTATCGCTTGCAACGATGCTCGCCAAGCTGCGGAATTCGGGACCTGTAGCAGTGTATACAAGACGGATACGTGCATCAATGCTGTTTCGGGACGGTGGCAGCGGCGGGCAAACAGTCATTCGCAACAACTCAGCGCTTCTGCGCAAATAGTTTTGGCCATCTCTGCTTTGCATGCAATCCTCATCATGCAAGGCTAGCACGAGCTTCACCTGCTTAGTGCCACTTGGGCAATACTGCACTTTGGCAACATGGTGCTTCGCAAGGTGCTGCTCTACCCGTTGCTTCCTATCGCCAAAAGCTCGGAATGGGCACAAAGGGCACCTGTGTTTCCCACGCTCTTGCGGAAACCGTTCCGTCAAGGCAACCTCCACCTCTGCTTTCAATTTGCCCAGAATTGCAGGCCCTGGGCGGACGATGGAATCATCGGCCTTCGTTTCGCTAGCAAAGCAACCTTCGTCCGAGGAGCCCGCATCTGAGCCAGACGCCGACGCGCCTGTGGCTCCGGCACGAAGATCCAGCAATGTGTCCAATGCAGAGGCAAAGAATGGCTTGTGTGAGTCCTGCCATGGTTGTGCAGGATCAATGGCAAAACCGAGAACAGTTTGGCCATCAACAGCAGAAGCAAGGCAGCCCTGGAAAGCTGACACACCGATGGAGATCTGCAGGTCGCCGTCCCACACTTTGACGAACTCGTTGTTTACTTCAACAGAGGCAGCGACACAATGTGCACGCCCGTCATTGTCTGCATGAAGCAAGTACTGTCCAGGAACGCGGAAATCTGCATCTAACAGCGGCTGCATGTTCACACGCAGTCGCTGCGCCAGCTCGCGGTACGACCACGAGCCAGGCTGTTTCTCAAGATTGGACACAAAGTTGCGCAGTTCACTGGACTGACTGTCTGGTAAGAGATGCGACAGTGCGCAGGGAATGCAGTTGCCGTTCTGTTTCCAGACGGAGGGAAAGTCTACGAGGCGCTCGGTGTTGCGCGCAAGTTTCACAACCGCGTCGCAAAAGAAGTCGTGCTGCTTCTCCTTGATCTGCACGCAGAAGCCGGTCTTCTGTTTGATGTGTTCCTGTAACTCTTGAATGTGCTGTTGGACATCGCCAATGCTGTCTCTGCTAACCCGAAGGCCATCGAAGTGTAGCGACAGGTGCTGCGGCGGATTGGTCATCAGGCGCTCTACCCACGACTGCATAATGTAATCCTCGGCTGCAGTGAGCATGAAGAACATGGTTGACACATCTGGCTGCTTCTTGGAAGAGTCACGTCGACAGTGTTGATGAACATCAGGCAGCACACTGCACGCTAGCCACCTGCAGTAGTACGATGTCCGTTGCACATCTTTGAGGAAATCGTTGGTTGTCCACTTTGGGTCCAATCGCGCGCCATTGAAAGCTTCAATCAAAAGCTGCTTCCCTTCAGACAAACCCAAGCGCAGCTTTTCGGAGCAAACCTGTTCCCGGTGATTTGCCAAGCTCTCCAGTGTGTCAGTGACCACTTTTGGCACTTCCTGGCAAGGAGAAAGCTTTGCCACCAGCTGCTGCATGATCACGAAGCCCGCGTTGCAGATGTCGAGGTCAACGCAGCCCGGAAGCAAGTTAAGTAACAATCTGCGGGAGCACTTCTGCGCTGAATCATTGCAGGCTTGCTTCCTGGTGCGCAAGAGCTGCCCCAAGGTGTTCTTGTACGAGACAGACCGTCTCAACATCTCGGGCTCTTGTTGACGAGGGCTTGCCTCTGGCGCGTCCATTGCAAGCGCGGACGGTCCTGTTTCTGGCTGAAGCGACCGCTGACGCTTGAAAGCTGCTTCGCGCGCAAGGCTTGAACCTGGCCCACGCTTGGCCGGGCAAAGCTTGGTCAGCAAGCTCAAGAAGTCGTCTGCCTTTTCAATACTTTCCAATCTTTTGCTGATCATCTCGCGCTGTCGTGCTTCCAGAGCAGAAGCCGGGCCCTTTCTTGTGAACTTCTTGCACTGCTTGAAGAAGCTCACCATTGTTTTGAAGTTGCGAGCGGAGTTTTGGTCTCTTCCTGCAAGCTTTAGGGCGAGCAGCCACATAACGCTAAACAAGTCCATCGTTTTAAGCAAAGCAACATAACGGAACAAGAGAACTTAAACACCTGTAAAAGGCGGAGCCAAGCGGCTCGTCTCTAAAAGAGCACTGACGTTCCACATCTCCTGCAGCGAAGGTGGGCACCAAAGATCTTTCGCCCGGCAAACGTCTTGGAGTGTTGCGCTTGTTGGCACTGCCGGGAAAAGGCAACCCTTGTATTGCGAGCCAAGGGCGCCAGAATCCTGCAACATTTCCGTTTTCACCATGTCGTCCCACAGCGCTTCTCGGTTTGGAAGCGACTTGAAGGCTGGCATCTTCTTAAACTGGGGTAATGAAATGTGAAACGTCGCCTTGAGGAGGAGCTCATCCCTCAATCCGCGAAACACTTCACCGACTTCGACCCCTAGCCCTGGATTGACAGCGACCGGCGCCGACGTGGCAGGTTGGAGGCCGCAAGCTGCACGCATGACGGTCTCTGTCACACCCATGTCCTCAGCTAGCGCGTAATCTTCGATAATTTTCCTGCATGCCTCCCTGGAGTGCAAGGCCTCGAACGCGTGTTGCTGGCGCAGGGCAGCAGCAACTGCGGGACCACTGACAAGGAACTCGCGCAGCGACGGGTCTGCAAAGAAAATGCCTTGTTGCGCGTCCTCCGCCTCATGTCCTTCAGGCCTGTCTACGAATCTTGCTCGCGGTAACCAGACCAGGGACCGCCTCAAGATGGAGTTGAAGTTCTCCTCCGTGACGCCAACGAATTCAAACATCTGGTTGACCTCGAGCCGCTTCCACCCCACCAAGCAGAGCATACGAGTCACAGCACCATACGGCCTGCGCCCAGCGACTCCGTTGGCGGACAGCGTCTTTTTGTACAAATCCTCCCGGACCTTTTTGTGGCCTTGCGGTGCTTCTTGGCCGGTGAGAATACAGCAATGCGCAAACTGCTCAATTTGCTTGCGGAGCTCGTCTTCCTGGAACCAGATGTTAGGGTCGATAAAGGCATGGTTATGAGCGTACATGCCAGACAGGAGTAGACTGTACAAGGACTGCCCAACGCCTCCGGGGCCAACTCCAATGAAGCAACGGTCAATGTTCTCCCCTCTCTTGGCCAACGCCTGCGCAGCCTGGCAGCAGGCAAAAATGTGGTTGTTCTGCCAAAACGTTGTGCTGATGAACTTCTCCAGGCGGACTTTGGCAGTTTCCGCGACAGGGTCCAAAAGAGTGTGCGGCACTCGCACGAAAATGTCATTGTCAGGGCGCCTCTCCACAAACCTGAGGTGCTCCCTGGGGGAAAGATCATAGATGACGGAGCAGTCCGTGTAGCACACCCCAGGAGAGCGCTTCAGCGGAGTGTTGCACCACTCGATGATGTAAGAAAGCAGCTTTCTTTCCTCCAGAAGAGCTTGTTGCAATTGTAGCCCGATTTTGCTCAAAGCCTGGGCCAGGAGAATTGTCCACGCGGTGCTTGGCTGCTCGTCCTCGCTCTCTGCTTGTCCTGCGTCAGCCGTAGTTGTTGCCTTCTTGTTCTTCTTGGCTGTCTTGGAGTTTGCGTGCGACAGCAGCGCCGTGTCCTGGCAATCGTCGAAGAAAGCAGTGGCGGAGGCCTCTGTATTCACAAGGCTTGCGACAGCCTCAAGCACCTTTTGGTTGGTGCGCTCGGTCTGCGGGGGCATCTTGCGGAAAAGGCCTTCCAGAACAAGTAGAAAATACTTGATGCGGGCGAAAGTTGACTCAGGGGGAATTCCACAGTAAGGCTGGTAGCATCCCGATTCGTGGTATAGATAGCAGAAGCCATTGTGCACACGCATGTGTGTGTCTCCCTCGATGATCCACAGCAATAAAGCAAGCTCCCGAATGAAGATGTCCACCATTCTGATCTTGTACATGGCAAGCGCAGCGCAAACAACCCGCACCTGGAAGTCTGTCCAATGTGGGTACTTCGTTTGCGTGTCCTCGCGCAACTTGCGGCATCTCTCAAGGATTGAGCCGCCGTCCGTGACAAGGTTGGCGTGCGCCGCGGCGAGTGAAGTCGACAACGACTCGTCTAAAGCTGCGAACAATTCTGGAAAACTTGTTGTCGACTGGCATTGCTGAACTGCGCTGTCCGAAGCACCTCCAAGCGCGTCAGCGGACTCACGTAGACGCGTGCTTCTCCGGGCTAATTCGCACTCGACCAAGTCAGAAGGCTTCAGGATTGCGAAGACCTGAGCGTCGGGCAGTTCAACCACAACAGAGGCAAGTTCGTCCTCGACTTCCAACCAACAAAAAGAGCACCACCAGCAGCCCCGCTGCTCGGTCCATTGCCAGATTGTGGATATGCCTCTATATCGAAAAATGTAGACGCCATCCTTGGGCGCAAAGAAAGACATCTAGAGCAGTTAGTTGCACAATAATTTAAGTGTTTAACTGAAACATTGACCCCAAGGCTGAACACGACATGTTCTAAAACAGCACAGTCCTGCATCAGCTCTGCAGGTTCTACCTGGAGCAGCATCATGTCGTAATGCCATAAGTATGCGTTGACAGCTTCCCACTGGCCCGGCGACTCGCGCGTGTT